TTATGGTTACAATGTTAGAAAATGATTGCATTGTTTACCTCCTCAGAGCGCGCAATCAGAGACAATGCCCATGCTGAATGTCTATGGATCAGTCGTCAAGCTGCACGAACACCCATCCATATAGGTGACAAAACCCCTACCTGTAACAATACATTAGAGACATTACATTCTTGGTTCTCAGCTACACTCAAAAAGATACCAATTACAACAGGAGACAAACCGTGGCTCAAACTTGGGTTTACTAATTGGGTATGCCCTTGAGAATTGAATTATCATTCAAGCATGTTGGCATCTAGGATCCCATCTTATGACTGGTTAGTTTAGATGCCTTTACTTTGAGTAAGTCCAGGCAAAGGCGGCAACTCCAGCCTTCCCCTGGGTACTCAGACATGGCAGGGCTGAGACAATACATGTGATAAACACGGTCGCAGTCATTGCAAAACAGCAGCTGGTCGTCATTCTCATATGCGCCGCAAATGTTGCAGCACTTGCATTCAATGCACTGCCAACGGTAAGTCTTGATGGCGGTGCTCATGTTTGAAGTGTACTCCAAACAGGACGGGTGTGCAGAAACTCCACAATCGGAACAGGAAACCAATTTTTCCGGTTGTCCCGTCTCCTTGTTCTCCAAATCGCAGTAGTTGCTAGGGTTTGCCAGCCCATCAGGACCTTTTTTGGCTTTGAGGCTCCTCCGAGCGGCGCATGACAGTTGTGGCGGGCCACGGGTCCTTGTCCTCGCCCTCCTCATCCACTAAGCGGCTGTGCGTGTAATGACAGCCCGGCCCAGGGCGGTTCTTGTACCGGTTTCTGCAAATGTCGCAAATGTCGCATGCAAACGGCTTGCCTTTATCCTCCTGTGCCGCTGCTTCATTCTTCTTCCTGGTCCCCGCTGCTGCCTTGCCGGGGTCCTGTGTGGGCTCCTCCGTGCTCTTGGCTGCTCGCGTTTCCTGGGAGCCCTCGGCCCCCTCGCTGGGCGCGTCGTCGAGGTCTGAAGTGCGACCCTCTTCATTTGTGTCCTTCGCCACTTCGCAGATTGCGGTTTCCCTCGCTTCTATCTCAGGCTCCAGATTTTCATCAGGCGTCCTGCGCTTGAGCTTGGTTCTTGCACGGGGCTTCTTCCCTCTGCGTGTCCCACTTCTAGGGGCATCTGGGATGGCGAAGACCTCGTCCTTGCCACCAGTGCTCTCCGCATCTCCCTCAGGCGTCAGTGCGATGTCCGACTCCAACTCTGGGAGATCTTTAAAGGGACTGACCTCATCCCCACTGGTCTCTGGAGAAAATGAAGCCGAGTCCTCCGTAAATTTCCTCTTCAGAGGTCCGGCTGTCGATGATGGCTGGGTGGCTGGCTGAGCCTCGGTCTCCATGGCAGTAGCTGGGGTTGGAGCGGGGTCTACCGCCACCTCGTGTGATCTCCGTGGTGAGGGACCCTCTCCTGAGTCACTTGTTGGGTGTGCTTCCTCATCACCCTTTTCCACCGTTGTCTCGCCGTTAGATTGGGCATTTTCTGTCATCGGGCAGTGTTTTTTAACATGCCCCTCAGCTTTGCAAAGGTTGCATTTTAGCACGTCCTTGCAGTAAAACAGCCTATGGGCCCTTCCTCCATTCATGACCACAAAGGAGCCCTCTTCAAGCTGCCCATTGGGCACCAGCATGTAGACCTGCCTTCTAAAAGACAAGACATGTCTCAAGGCAGGATTTTTGAGGCCCAGAGGCACACGCTGAAGGTTGGAAGTCAGCGTGCCCAACTTAGCCAGGTGATCTTGGATGTCTTTATCGGGAATGTAGGGGGGGGCGTTGGATACGATCACGCGTACCCGATGGTGATGACATTGGCTCCAAGGTAAGGTGCCAATCGCCAACCGTCATCCCCTTCTCCATGGCGGCGTTTGCCACCTTTTCAGACTCCATGAAGAAAACCACTCTTCCGTTCACCTTGGAGGCGTACCTTATCGAGCCCCCTGGCACGATGGCGCGCAGCGCATCCACGTAAACTTCAATTGGAACATCGTGAGAAGCCGGGCAGCGGATCCCAGCCTCCTGTGGAGGCTCCGGGTGCTGCTGCAGGCACCTTGCAGACCCCAGAGACGGGCCTTGCGTAGTTGCGGTAGCTTTCGCGTATGTTGTTGCGGGTCGGGTGGACATCTTCACGTGTGTGAGATGTCACACACAACTACGAAAGCAAACCTCTCTACTTTCTAAAGTCAGGAAAAAATTACAAAAAAAACAAGAAACGTAAAAAAAATTGTGTATAAAGATGGTCAAATCTGTGTTATGACCACCTTCTGCTAATTATTGTTACTTCTGCCCACCCAAAGCTCCCCTGGAGAGAGTACAATAATTTTAAGTCCTTGGTTTTTTTTTTTACAAGAGGAGGAAAAAAAACGAAAACGTAAGGAAAAAAGCACACCAATAAAAATAAAATAATGTAAACACGCTCACAGCACAAAACAAGAGGAGATTCTAAAGGGGATGTCTGCCCTGCATCCACACCGGCCGGTGTGGTACAGTGGCGAACACGGGTGTGAAACACGTGGGAGCACACCAGACAAAGGAACGAAAAAAGACACGAAAAACACGAAAAAGAATCACAAAACTCAAAGATTACTAAAGGAACTCAAGATCGAAAAGAAAGCAAAGAAAAGCGTGATTGTGAAATCAACTATCAAAATAAAATTGGAGGATTGTGCGGAAAAAAACACACACACCTTTCCACTGCAGTGAGCGCAGCCGCGCACTGAACAGTGAAAACAACAGAAAAGAACAAAGAAAGAAAGAGAAAGGAAGTCTAAATTAACAAACAAACTGATCACAAATGTGTATAAAGCAAGACACTTACTGTTGGTGAAAAAAAATCCCGAAAAAAAGGGTGAGAAAAATTTAGTTTTTAGAGGTAAAGGCCGGAGCTCTGGGTGAACGCGTCTCTCCTCCCTCCCTCCCCCCTCCCTCGTTTAATGATCCAAGTTGCCTCTCCCTCCCTCCTCCCTCCCTCGTTTAATGATCCAAGTTGCTTCTCTCCCCCCCCTGCCCCTCTCCACCCTCTCCCTCCCTCGTTTAATGATCCACTTTTCCCCTCCCTCCCCCCTCCCTCCCTCCCTCATCCTCCCTCCTCCTCCCTCCTCCCTCCTCCCTCCCTCGTTTAATGATCCACTTTTCGCCTCCCTCCCTGCCTCCCTCAACCCCTGGATGGTTTCTTCTTGTTCATCTCCGTCCGTCTCGAGAGGCGAACGCCTCCAGACGTCTCAGGCGCTCGATTTAAAGTCGGAGCGGCGAAGGATAATACCGCCTCCACCCACCCACCCACTCAACCCCTCCACCCCTCCACCCACCCACCCACCACTCCACCCCACCGCCCACCCACCCACCCACCACTCCACCCCTCCACCCACCCACCCACCACTCCACCCACCCCTCCACCCCTCCACCCCTCCACCCACCCCTCCACCCCTCCACCCCTCCACCCACCCCTCCACCCCTCCACCCCTCCACCCACCCCTCCACCCCTCCACCCATCCACCACTCCACCCCTCCAACCACCCACCCACCCACCACTCCACCCACCCCTCCAATCACCCCTGCACCCACCCTTCCACCCACCCACTCCTCCACCCACCCACTCCTCCACCCACCTCTCCAGTCACCCACCCACCCCTCCAATCACCCCTCCACCCCCCCCATTTACCCCCCTCCACCCACCCACCACTCCACCCACCCCTTCACCCACCCCCCCACCCCTCCACCCACCACCCACCCCTCCAATCACCCCCCACCCATCCACCCCCCCCCCTTCACCCACCCCTCCACCCCCCCTCCACTCCTCCACCCACCCCCCCCTCCACCCACCCACCACTCCACCCACCCACCCACCACTCCCCCATCCACCCCCCCTCCACCCCTCCACCCACCACCCACCACCCACCCACCCCCCCTCCACCCTTCCACCCACTACCCACCACCCATCCACCCCCCCTCCACCCACCCCTCCACCCTCCCCTTCATCCACCCCACCCCTCCACCCCACCACCCACCCACCCACCCCTCCACCCACCCCTCCACCCCCCACCCCAACCTTACCACGTGTCTGTATATCTCCCAAGTCGTCGACACGTCTCGAGCCATCAGCTTCCGTGCAGGCGAACGAGTCGGAGGTGCGTTCCCGTGTTCTCAGCGACTGCTGCCAGTAGGTAAACACTTTGCACTTTTATTCATCTTCTTGGTTCTTTCGGTAAAGTCACGTAGAAGGGAAATAATAAAATAATAAAAATAAAACATAATGAAATAATAAAAATTAAACATAATAAAACTATACAAATTAAACATAATAAAACAATAAAAATTAAACGTAATAAAAAACATAAAAATTAAACGTAATAAAATAATAAAAATAAAACATAATGAAATATTCTCACGACGTGTCGGCCACAACGCAAGCAGCCGTCCTCAGGCGAAGAACAGGTCTGTCGAGAAGACATTATTATTGTATTACTTCCATTCTACGTGACTTTACCGAAAGAACCAAAAAGATGAATCCCTGCAGTCACGAAAGCTTTAAATCGATATTTTACACTTTTATTTCCGTCTTTTATCAAATTGTTTGTGTACACACGGGGTACCTTGAAAAAGATGATGATTTTTACTCCGTGAGTTCTTTCGGTAAAGTTCCGTGGAAAGAAATGCAATTGAATAGTAATGGAATACTACGTTTCGATTGCAGCACGAGCAGCCTTCATCAGATTGAAAGCTTTCGTGACTGCAGGGATTCATCTTCTTGGTTCTTTCGGTAAAGTCACGTAGAAGGGAAATTCTAAAAAAGAATAAAAACGTCGTGAGAATTATTTTATTATGTTTTATTTATTATTATTTTTTATTATTTCCATTCCACGTGACTTTACCGAAAGAACCAAGAAGACAAACATAGTAAACTTGGAAATATAATGCAATACAACACAGAGAGTCGGCTAACACAACAGTCAACACCCTACCTGGTTGGTTAATGTTCTTCCAAAGATTGCTAAATTTGAGAGAGAGACAAAACATAGACATGGAGACAACACAGACAAACACACAAGCAGAGAGAGACACACACAGAGACACACACAGAGACACACAACATAGACACACAAGCGGAGAGAGACACACAACATAGACACACAGACAGACACACAAGCAGAGAGAGATAACACAGAGACACACAGAGAGAGACACACACAGAGACACACAGAGAGAGACACACAACATAGACACACAGACAGAGACACACAGAGAGAGACACACACAGAGACACACAGAGAGAGACACACAACATAGACACACAGACAGAGACACAACATAGACACACAGAGAGAGACACGCACAGAGACACACAGAGAGAGACACACAACATAGACACACAGAGACACAGAGAGAGACACACAGAGAGAGACACACAACATAGACACACAGACAGACACACAAGCAGAGATAGACACACACAGAGACACAGAGAGAGAGAGACACACAGAGAGAGACACACAACATAGACACACAGACAGACACACAAGCAGAGATAGACACACACAGAGACACAGAGAGAGAGACACACAGAGAGAGACACACAACATAGACACACAAGCAGAGATAGACACACACAGAGACACAGAGAGAGAACACAGAGACACGCAGAGAGACAACGTCTCTCTGTGTGTCTCTGGAGAAGATTCCAGGCAGTAGCGTTGACAACGCTGGCGGACAAGCGGCAGACTTTTTGACTTTTCGAGGCTTTCGAAGTGACATTCGCTATCATGTTACGCTGTATTGGTCCCGTGTGAGTGTTAACATTTTTTCGAAGCACCCTGCATTTGTCAAATTAGCCATGTTCATGCGCGTTTGTGTTCGCGTTTAGGGTGGAGATCTGAGGGGCAGACTTGTGGCAGAAAGGCATCACGTGTCTCTGTGCGTGTGAACAAAGATGCAACTTGACTTGACACTCACTCACTCAGTCGACCACTAAACCACCTATTCACTCAGTCACTCACCCATCCACTCACTCAGTCACTCACTCACCCACTAACTTACACACCCACTCACCCACCCACCCATTCGATCAGTCAATCAGTCACTCACTCAGTCACCCACCCACCCACCCACCCACCAATTCACCCAGTCACTCACCCATTCACTCACTCAGTCACTCACCCACTCACTCACCCATTCACTCACTCAGTCACCCGCTCACCCACCAACCCATTCGATCAGTCACTCAGTCAGTCACTCAGTCACCCACTCACCCATTCACTCAGTCACTCACCCATTCACTCACTCAGTCGCTCACTCACTCACCCACTAACTCACTCACCCATTCACCCACCCACCCATCCACCCATTCAATCAGTCAATCAGTCACTCACTCAGTCATCCACTCACCCACCCACCAATTCACCCAGTCACTCACCCATCCACTCACTCAGTCACTCACCCACTCACTCACCCATTCACTCACTCAGTCACCCGCTCACCCACCCACCCATTCGACCAGTCACTCAGTCACCCACTCACCCATTCACTCAGTGACTCACCCATTCACTCACTCAGTCGCTCACTCACTCACCCACTAACTCACCCACCCATTCACCAACCCACCCACCCACCCATTCAATCAGTCAATCAGTCACTCACTCAGTCACCCAATCACCCACCCACCCACCAATTCACCCAGTCACTCACCCATTCACTCACTCAGTCACTCACCCATTCACTCACTCAGTCACCCGCTCACCCACCCACCCATTCGATCAGTCACTAACTCAGTCATCGACTCACCTCACCTACTCACTCACTCACTCATCCATTTACTCACTCAGTCACCCATTCACTCACCCACTCATTCACCCACCCACTCACTCACCCACTCACTTACTCAGTCACGACTAACCTACCCACCCATTTATTCACTCACTCACCGACTCACTCAATCACCCATTCACTCCCTCAGACACTCACTCATCCACTCATCCACTCACCCATTCACTCAGTAACCGACTCACTTACTCACCCATTCATTCACTCAGTCACATATTCACCCATTCACCAATTCACTCAGTCAGCGACTTACCAACTCACAAATTCACCCATTCTCACTCTGTCACCGACTCACTCAATCACCCATTCACTCAGTCAGCGAGTCACCCACTCACCTACTGAGTCACCGACTCACCCACGCACCAACCCATTCACTCACTCAGTCACCCACTCATCAACTGACCCACCCATTCACTCAATCAGTTACCGACTCACACCATCACTCACCCATTCGCTGAGTCACCGACTCACCCACGCATTCAACCCATTCACTCACTCAGTCAACGACTCACTCACTCACCTATTCATGCAATCAGTTACCGACTCACACACTCACTCATGCATTCACTTACTCAGTCACGACTCACCCATTCACTCACAGGCTCATTCACCCACCCATTCACTCACTCACCGACTCACCCACTCACCTAGTCACTCAATCAGTTACCGACTCACACACTCACTCACCTATTCACTCACTCACTCACTCACGACTCACCTACCCACCCATTCACTTAGTCACCGACTCACTCAATAACTCATTCACTCACTCAGAGAGTCACTCACTCAGCCATTCACATCGATTCATCCACGCACCCACCCATTCACTCACTCAGTCAACGACTCACTCACTCACCCATTAACTCACTCAGTCAGAGACTCACCCACTCACTCACCCATTTACTCACTCAGTCACCCAATCACTCACCCACTCACTCACTCACCCACCCACTCACTCACTTATCCACTCACTTACTCAGTCACGACTCACCTACCCACCCATTTATTCACTCACTCACCGACTCACTCAATCACCCATTCACTCCCTCAGTCACCGACTCACTCAATAACTCATTCACTCACTCAGCCATTCACATCGACTCAGCCACGCACCCACCCATTCACTCACTCAGTCAAAGACTCACCCACTCACCTATTCATTCAATCAGTTATCGACCCACACCCTCACTCACCCATTCACTCAGTTACCGACGCACCCACTCACCCATTCACTCACTCAGTCAAATACTCACCCACTTACCTATTCATTCAATCAGTTACCGACTCACACACTAACTCACCCATTCACTCACTCACCGACTCACCCATTCACTCACTCAGTCACTGACTGACTCACTCACCCATTCAATCACTCAGACACCGAGTCAGACACTCATTCAACCACTCACCCTACTGACTCACTCACTCACGCATTCACTCAGTCACTGACTCACCCACTCATTCACTCACCGACTCACCCATCGACCTGTTCACCCACTGGCCCATCTCCTCACCCACCTCTCAGACATGAGAGGCAGGAGAGTGCGTGGAGGGGAGGAGAGTGAGATGAGAGGGGAGAGGTAGGAGAGTGCGTGGAGGGGAGTGGAGTGAGCTGAGAGGGGAGAGGTAGGAGAGTGCGCGGAGGGGAGGAGAGTGAGATGAGAGGGGAGAGGTAGGAGAGTGCGTGGAGGGGAGGAGAGTGAGATGAGAGGGGAGAGGTAGGAGAGTGCGCGGAGGGGAGAGGTAGGAAAGTGCGTGGAGGGGAGTAGAGTGAGATGAGAGGGGAGAGGCAAGAGAGTGCGTGGATGGGAGTGGAGTGATTTGAGAGGGGAGAGGTAGGAGAGTGAGTGGAGGGGAGTAGAGTGAGATGAGAGGGGAGAGGTAGGAGAGTGCGCGGAGGGGAGTGGAGTGAGATGGGAGGGGAGAGGCAGGAGAGGCGTGGAGGGGAGGAGAGTGAGATGAGAGGGGAGAGGTAGGAGAGTGCGTGGAGGGGAGTGGAGTGAAATTAGAGGGGAGAGGTAGGAGAGTGCGTGGAGGGGAGTGGAATGAGATGAGAGGGGTGAGGTAGTGGAGTGCGTGGAGTGGAGTGAGATGGGAGAAGAGAGGTAGGAGAGTGCGTGGAGGGGAGTAGGGTGAGATGAGAGGGGAGTGGAGTGAGTTGAGAGGGGAGAGGTAGGAGAGTGCGTGGAGGGGAGTGGAATGAGATGAGAGGGGTGAGGTAGTGGAGTGCGTGGAGGGGAGTGGAGTGAGATGAGAGGGGTGAGGCTGTGTGTGTGTTGAACTTCTTTCGCACCGTACGTAGCCAGCCGTGCTAATTAGAGGGTCAGGACCGCCTGCTAAGACGTTCATCATCTAGCAGTGGACAGATCATGGCCAATGATTTATTTCAAATATCTGCGACTCAAAACGCAATCAACGCATTTATGCTGAAACATAAACGATTGTATACTCTGGTGAGGAGGTGAGTGGGTGAGTGAGTGGGTGAGTGAGTGAATGGGTGAGTGGGTGAGTAAGTGGGTGAGTGGGTGAGAGAGTCGGTGAGTGAGTGAGTGGGTGATTGAGTCGGTGACTGAGTGAATTGGGTGAGTGGGTGAGTGAGTCGGGGAGTGGGTGAATGGGTGAGTTGGTGACTGAGTGAGTGAATGGGTGAGTGGGTGAGTGAATGGGTGAGTGGGTGAGTTGGTGGGTTGGTGGGTTGGTGGGTGATTGATTCGGTGACTGAGTGAATTGGGTGAGTGGGTGAGTGAGTCGGGGAGTGGGTGAATAGGTGAGTCGGTGACTGAGTGAGTGAATGGGTGAGTGGGTGAGTGAATGGGTGAGCGAGTGAATGAGTGAGTGGGTGAGTTTGTGGGTTGGTGGGTGATTGATTCGGTGACTGAGTGAATTGGGTGAGTGGGTGAGTGAGTCGGTGAGTGGGTGAATGGGTGAGTCGGTGACTGAGTGAGTGAATGGGTGAGTGGGTGAGTGAATGGGTGAGCGAGTGAATGGGTGAGTGGGTGAGTTGGTGGGTTGGTGGGTTGATGGGTGATTGAGTCGGTGACTGAGTGAATTGGGTGAGTGGGTGAGTGAGTCGGGGAGTGGGTGAATGGGTGAGTTGGTGACTGAGTGAGTGAATGGGTGAGTGGGTGAGTGAATGGGTGAGCGAGTGAATGGGTGAGTGGGTGAGTTGGTGGGTTGGTGGGTGATTGATTCGGTGACTGAGTGAATTGGGTGAGTGGGTGAGTGAGTCGGGGAGTGGGTGAATAGATGAGTCGGTGACTGAGTGAGTGAATGGGTGAGTGGGTGAGTGAATGGGTGAGCGAGTGAATGGGTGAGTGGGTGAGTGAATGGGTGAGCGAGTGAATGGGTGAGTGGGTGAGTTGGTGGGTTGGTGGGTTGGTGGGTGATTGATTCGGTGACTGAGTGAATTGGGTGAGTGGGTGAGTGAGTCGGGGAGTGGGTGAATAGGTGAGTCGGTGACTGAGTGAGTGAATGGGTGAGTGGGTGAGTGAATGGGTGAGCGAGTGAATGGGTGAGTGGGTGAGTTGGTGGGTTGGTGGGTTGGTGGGTGATTGGTTCGGTGACTGAGTGAATTGGGTGAGTGAGTGAGTGAGTGAGTGAGTCGGTGAGTGGGTGAATGGGTGAGTCGGTGACTGAGTGAGTGAATGGGTGAGTGGATGAGTGAATGGGTGAGCGAGTGAATGGGTGAGTGGGTGAGTTGGTGGGTGATTGATTCGGTGACTGAGTGAATTGGGTGAGTGGGTGAGTGAGTCGGGGAGTGGGTGAATAGGTGAGTCGGTAACTGAGTGAGTGAATGGGTGAGTGGGTGAGTGAATGGGTGAGCGAGTGAATGGGTGAGTGGGTGAGTTGGTGGGTTGGTGAGTGGGTGGGTGATTGAGTCGGTGACTGAGTGAATTGGGTGAGTGGGTGAGTGAGTCGGTGAGTGGGTGAATGGGTGAGTCGGTGACTGAGTGAGTGAATGGGTGAGTGGGTGAGTGAATGGGTGAGCGAGTGAATGGGTGAGTGGGTGAGTTGGTGGGTTGGTGGGTTGGTGGGTGATTGATTCGGTGACTGAGTGAATTGGGTGAGTGAGTGAGTCGGTGAGTGGGTGAATGGGTGAGTCGGTGAGTTGGTGGGTTGGTGGGTGAGTGGGTGAATCGGTGAGTGGGTAAGTGAATCGGCGAGTAGGTGAGTGAGCAAATAAATGGTTGAGTAAGTGAATGGCCGTTCTTTATAAAGCAAAGATGTCACCTGATGACGCACCCAAATACATACACGGCAAGGCCATAGCCATAGAGTAAACATTGGGGGGAGCCAACGAATTTCATGACATTTCCTGCTTAAAATATAAAAAAATTCACTAACACATAAGATGGACTTTTATTTTTAACAATAATGTCTAATAGTGTATTGTATTACATTGCTCTGTTGTTTCTTCCTTACCTTTTCTTGTTTCATTGTATGTAATGGCAGAAATTAGGGATGAATAAAGTACAACCATAACCACAATCATATAAAATAAATCTACGCATTGATTTATACGAAGACACAAGTCCAGATATTGTGGCCAAGCTTTAGCAAAGTTTTGTTTTTATTTACATAGCATAGCAATTATTTTTTATATCAACATATTGGGGGGGACATTTTGAGCATATTTGAATATTGGGGGGGATAGTGTCACGTGCGGATGTGCCCCCCCCCAATATAGATTATAATTACAGCCTTGGTACACGGTATTTCTTCAAATAATTGAAGTAATATGGGAACTTATCTGTATGCACGTTAATCTTCTTTCACACTGTGCGTAGCCAATCGTGCTGTTAAAACTATACAAATAACGAGCCTTTTGCCCGTCCAAAGACGGGTGTATTGCTTATCAATCTGAAACTTTCAAGCGAAAAGCAGAGCTGGACGTGACATATTCATTCCATCCCTTCGCGTGCGATGTGTAAGTGCGCGAAGATGCAGACCTATTCCATTTCAAGGTTAGATTCTCAACCAACATCGGTTTAGGTCGAGGTACACCGATTGTTTTCTTGCACACGACGACGTTGACCAATTTCTCTTGTAGCCCCGCTCACCACCCCAACACGTTCCATTCCCTGGTTACTACTACATTCAGAGAAGCCCCTTAAGGGCTGGTCTTTTGGAATTTTTGCCTCACTTGATGCAGTAATTTTTAGCTGTGACGGTCCCACCTGATGACGGAGACTCGTGTTGCCTCCGAAACGTCGTGATTTTTTATTTTATTTTTTATTTAACTTTTATTAATTAAAATTAAATTATTTTACCTACGTGACTTTACGCGAAAAAAACCTAAGAATAGTTAGACAATCCCTTGTTCATCACGACATCCTCTTTACTTTGATGTCTCAACGGCGCTACAGAGATCGCGTGACGTGAGGGTTCTGCCTTCGCAGTGAGGGTTGCAAGTTGACGCCGATAAGGGGGGGAGGAGGCACCTCGCCCCCCCCATGTGGAGTGACGTCACCCGCTAATTATTATTTAGAGGACGTCACCTGTTCATCATTCACTTGGCAAAGGCGGAGACCCTCACTGCAACAGCCCCGAGTCTCCCGCGCATGTCCCCCTTTTATACCGAACAAGGCCACGCTCCCCTTCCTTCTTGCTGACTCTGGACGCTCGCTCCGCTGGCAGACTCTATCGTCCCCATCCGTCACCTGACCACGCTCCCTTCTCGATTATTCCCGTAGCCACCAGTCCCTTCGCACTTACAACTGATACCCCCGTCATTATCTCCCGTGGCCACCAGTCCATTTGTACTGCAGGCTGACTCTCCTGTAATTACCTCCCGTGGCCACTAGTCCATTCGCACTGCAGGCTGACTCCCCTGCCATTACCTCCCGTGGCCACCAGTCCATTCGTACTGCAGGCTGACTCCCCTGTCATTACCTCCCGTGGCCACCAGTCCACTCGCACTGCAGGCTGACTCCCCTGTCATTACCTCCCGTGGCCACCAGTCCACTCGCACTGCTGGCTGACTCCCATGTCATTACCTCCCGTGGCCACCAGTCCACTCACACTGCTGGCTGACTCCCCTGTCATTACCTCCCGTGGCCACCAGTCCACTCACACTGCTGGCTGACTCCCCTGTCATTACCTCCCGTGGCCACCAGTCCACTCGCACTACAGGTTGACTCCCCTGTCATTACCTCCCGTGGCCACCAGTCCACTCACACTGCAGGCTGACTCCCCTGTCATTACCTCCCGTGGCCACTAGTCCTTTCGCACTGCAGGCTGACTCCCCTCTCATTACCTTCAGTGGCCACCAGTCCATTCACACTGCAGGCTGACTCCCCTGTCATTACCTCCCGTGGCCACCAGTCTACTCACACTGCAGGCTGACTCCCCTGTCATTACCTCCCGTGGCCACTAGTCCATTCGTACTGCAGGCTGACTCCCCTGTCATTACCTCCCGTGGCCACCATTCCACTCGTACTGCAGACTGACTCCCCTGTCATTACCTCCCGTGGCCACTAGTCCTTTCGCACTGCAGGCTGACTCACCTCTCATTACCTTCCGTGGCCACCAGTCCATTCGCACTGCAGGCTGACTCCCCTGTCATTACCTCCCGTGGCCACCAGTCTACTCACACTGCAGGCTGACTTCCCTGTCATTACCTCCCGTGGCCACTAGTCCACTCACACTGCAGGCTGACTCCCCTGTCATTACCTCTCGTGGCCACCAGTCCATTCGCACTGCAAGCTGACTCCCCTGTCATTACCTCCCGTGGCCATCAGTCTACTCGCACTGCAGGCTGACACCCCTGTCATTACCTCCTGTGGCCATCAGTCTACTCACACTGCAGGCTGACTCCCCTGTCATTACCTCCCGTGGCCACTAGTCCACTCACACCGCATGCATGCTCTATTGTCATTACACTTGCAAAAGCTAGAATAAATTTATTTGGCAGTTGAACAATCAACACAACTCCCGTTTTATTTTCTAGATAGGGTAAAAACAAAGATTCTTATTGTTTTTTTACATACAGAGAAACTAGTTGTTGGGGTTGTTAGTCCCAAGGTCCTTTGAACGTTGATGTCGGCAAATGTGCACCGGACACCCCACACAGCAAAAGACGGGAACGCGTTCCGGACGAGTTTGCAGATATAAGGAATTAACCAAACCCGCCCCCCCCCATGATTTTATCATAATATATATTTCATTAAATGTAACACAAATATATGAAAACCTCCAACTACTTTTTTTCTTTGTTAAAATTGTTTTCGGTTTCAAATCTTATTTTACTACCCACACAAATCTTCGCCGAGTCTCTCCAAGACCAATTTTCGTTTAAACGTTGAATGATTACTTTCCAGAATTCCCGCTCGCCCGGCAGATCCGATGGACGACACCATCAACAATAACAGCACCGCAATCATCAACTTCACATCACCATCTTCGTCATCACCGTCATCATCATCGTCATCATCGTTATTACCATTCTTTGCATACCCTGGTGTACCGCTGTACCTCGACTCTCCGCTCCGTAGCCCCGAGTCTCTCCGCCCGCTCGCCTTCACCGTCATTCTCGTTCTTTACTGCCTCATCGTGACGGGCAACACGCTCCTCTGCTTCCTCATCGTCCGCGACCCTCGTCTCCACAGGCCCATGTACATCCTGCTCGCAAATCTGTCCCTCAACGCCCTCGTGGGCAGCTCGGCGACTCTCCCGCGCGCCATGCGCGACCTGGTCGCGCCCAACGCCATCACGGCGGGCGAGTGCCTGGCCCAGGTCTACTTCATCCACGTCTACATGAGCCTCGAGTACTACATCCTCGCCTCCATGTCCCTCGACCGCTACCTCGCCGTGTGCCTCCCTCTGCGTTACGGCGCCCTCTTCGGCAACGAGCGAGCCCTGCGCGCGTGCGCGGCCGTCCACGCGGCGGCGGCCGCGTGCGTCTCCGCCATCTTGTGCCTCGTGCTTCGCCTAGACCTGTGCAGAGGCCGCGTCGTCGACGAATTCTCCTGCAGCCACATGTCCCTGGCGAAGTTGGCGTGCAACGACACGTCCGTCAACAACGTCGCGGGCATCGCCGTCACCGCCCTCACCATGGGCGTCGGCCTGGCCGCCATCGCCGCCTCGTACGCCCGCATCCTCTTCGAGTGCTGCTCGTCGCGCGGGCGGCGGGGTCGCGGACGCAAGGCGGCGGGCACGTGCGTCGCGCACTTGGGCAGCCTGGGCGTCTTCGCGCTCTGCAGCCTCGCCATCGTCGCCATGCCCCGGGTCGAGCGCTACGTGCGGGTCTCGCCGCTGGCGCGCTGCGTCGTCAACATGGCCGTGTACGTGCTGCCCCCGCTGCTCAACCCCGTCATCTACGGCCTGCGCACCGCCGAGATCAGGGCGTGGCTCGCCGCCAAGGTGTGCCGCCGGGGCAAGGTCACGGCGGCCGCGTGAGGCGTCCATTGTCGGGGTGGGGAGGGTGTGGGGGTGGTGTTTCATTCTCTCCTCCTCCCCCTCCCCCCCTCCTCCCCCTCCTCCTCCTCCCCCCCTCCTTCTCCTCCCCCCCCTCCTCCCCCCCTCATCCCCCTCCCCCCTTCCCCTCCCCCTGGCTGCCCCCTCCCCTCCCCCCCCTTGCTGCCCCCCCTCCCGCTGCCCCCCATCCCCCCATACCCCCTCCCCACGACCTCCTCCCCTCCCCCTCTCCACCCCCTCCCCCCCTCCTCCCCCCCATTCTGTGGGACTTTAGTTGAAGGTGACGGAGTTACCAGTCGCTCGCAAACCATTCCCAGAGGCCGCTTTAGGCCGCTGGCGGTGGCTTACAAGCGCCACGGGGGGAATGGCCAATTGAAATTGGTCCTCCCATCCCCCCCCCTCTCCCCCAATGGCACTGGTCAAATCAAAGTTACCATCTGGTTGTTTAGTCGGACTATTGGTGATGGTGCAGTTGTGCGGAGAGTGGGCATTGTGCTCATGACCAGCTCCATTTTTGACAGCAGAGGTGTCACTCCGAACCAGTGGAGCGGCATTGGGGCCGTCCATAAATGACGTCACGCGATTTTGACCAATTTTTGACCGCCCCCTCCCCCCCTCCCTCGTCACACGGCGTCACAAAAAATCAGACCCCCCTCAAATATGACGTCACAAAGCTCTACCCCCCCCCAAAACCATATTTCCATTTTGAAAATTAAACATGCTTCAAATCACTTTAAACTATTGTCATTGTAGTGCGTATTTAATGTGGCGCTGCACTCTGATGTTGTAGGAGAAAACATTTATGAAAAATACTGTATAGCATAAAATTCACTTGAAAATATTCAACGTCTAACTAAAACTGCGGATGTTCAGAATATAAAATAGAATTTTTTTTGTAATTATCAAATATATAAAGTAATTATAACTATAAAAAAATACTTGAAACTTTGTAGTTGAACGAAGAAAAATGGAGAGTACAATTATAACAATCACATATTCATTGCACAGAATGAAAATGAAAATGTTTATTAACAATCATTAAATTGTTTTCAAAATGTATGCTTCTACCTGGTCTGTCGCTCCGCACAAAACTTCAGGTCTTCTCGGCCACGGTCATTCCCTCCCTTCTCTACGCTTCCGAGACGTGGACCCCCCTAATAGAACATCTTCGCCGGTTAGAAACATTTAGGCTGGCCTGCCTACGATCCATCCTGGGATTAACCTGCAGGCTGGATTGTGTGAGGAGCTCACAAACCCTTGAAAGATCTGGACAAAGTCCCATCGGTGAGCTCTTACGGCAGACAAGGCTGCGTTGGCTGGGTCATGTAGCCCGCATGCCCAGCCACCGCATGTCTAAACAGCTTTTGTTCGGCCGGATCGAGGGGGCTAAACGGGCGCGGCACGAGCTAGAGAAGAGATGGAGTGATGTGGTACAGGAGGACGTGGAGCTGAGTGGACTTGCCGATGACTGGTACCAGCGGTGTCAAGATCGGCCTCAGTGGAGGAGGCTCGTGTAGGACGCTACTGGGCAGTTGGAGGCAGTCGCCCTCCAACAACAACGGAGGGCGGAGGAGCGACGCTCACAACAACGAGCGGAGCGTCGGGGTGTCTAAAGCACAGCAAGTTGGCACAGTAGGGGGCACAGGTGGTGCATCGGCCACTCATCTCATTCATTCGACCCGTGGCACCTGCTGGGTCTGTCCCGTGACCTCCTGCCAGCGGGCATTCTAAAACTCCGTGGCCTTAACGTGCACACAGCCTGGCACAGGCGTGGCGGTGACGTCACCGCCACTTAGTAACGAATGGCGTTTGTTGTTGTGTTGTTGTGATGGACAAGCAAACGGTACTGTAGGCTGGCCTAAGACTCTAAGAGTATCCGGCATCTGCTATAAATGCCCACGTGGCGATGATGACGACGATGACGTCATCATCATCGCCGCCCGCGTCGTTGAGCAGCGATTATTTGGTGATAGCGCCCCCCCCCAATCCTCCCAGGTGAGCTTCAGAAATAAAATAAGTGATATTAAAAAATAAACATGTGATATTAAAATAAAATAAGTAATATTAAAAATAAATAAGTGATATTAAAATAAAATAAGTGATATTAAAATAAAATAAGTAATATTAAAAAATAAATAAGTGATATTAAAATAAAATAAGTGATATTAAAATAAAATAAGTAATATTAAAAAATAAATAAGTGATATAAAAAAAACAAGTAATATAAAAACAATAAAAGTAATATTCAGGGAGGGAGGGGAGTGTGGGGAAGGGCTGGGTGGGGTGGGTGGGGCTGGGTGGGCAGGGTGGGGAGGGGCTGGATGGGGTGGGGAGGGGCTGGGTGGGGAGAGTGGGGGGTGGTAGGGGTGGGGCTGGGTGGGGAGGGGCTGGGTGGGGAGGGGCTGGGTGGGGCTGGGTGGGGGGTGGGAGGGGTGGGGCTGGGTGGGGAGGGGCTGGTCACCCCGTGGTGCCCTTATGAAACTCAACGTTTAACCTACTCACGCCGGCTTGTGCCCGCCCTCACAGTCGGCCATATTTTTGTGGAATACACCACGCCGCCGTTGACCCTGCAGGCCATTGAACGAGCAACCCAACGTTCCTACCAGCTCCCTCCGCAGGGGAATGTGTTATAGTTCGACGACGTTTCGGTCGCAACGCAGGTAACCGTCATCAGGTGAGACAACCACAGCATGAGAAGTGCTTCTTGTTGAACGTTCGGTTCATTTCCTGTGTCACAAACACAACAAATTGTGTGTGCCTGGGTAGCGAACGTTATTTTCCTAATTGCTTATGCTTCAAAGGTAGAGCATTTTGACTGCTTGTGTTGTGGTTATTGCAAACATGATGCCTTGTATAACGGTGTCAGTTTTTGTACCAGTTTAAAGGGTAAAAACCTATTACTATATTTTGCCACTGGTAAAAGAGATGTCTCATAGTGTAAATGCTTACTCCGAGTTCTCAATACTCTGATAGTGCGCTGTTTTTGAGTTGTACGCCTTTTGGCGTCATCTGGTCCAACACCAGTGGAGAATAGGCTCTAAGAAAAGCTGTCTCGGGTATGGACCAATCAACTTCAAGGACAGTGCATATCATTATCATCATCAGAGATGTTTCTTTTTGTTTGCATTTTTGACTGCTTGTGTTGTGGTTATTGCAAACATGATGCCTTGTATAAAGGTGTCAGTTTTGTACCAGTTGAAAGGGTAAAAACCTACTACTAGTAGAGAAAGTGTCTGTTATCATTTTCCCACGAACTTTGCCCTTCGTGAGCAGGAGAGTGACATTTAGAAATGTGGCTATTGTCACTGAGAAAACTCGGTGTGACTTTGCGTCTATACTGCACACAAAGTTCTGCTCATAAAAGCAAAGTTTGCGGGGAATGATAGCCACTTCCTGTACCTGTGAGGCATAATCAATTGGGAAACAATACTTACTACCCAGGAACAAACATCGTTTAACACATTCTACTCTTCTTGGTTCTTTCGGTAAAGTCACGTAGAAGGGAAATAATAAAATAAAATAAATAAAACATAATAAAATACAATTCTCACGACGTTTCGGCCACAACGCAAGCAGCCGCCCTCAGGTGAAGAACAGGTCTGTAGGAAAGACAGCGTCTAAATGAACACCAGACGCTGTCTTTCCTACAGACATGTTCTTCACCTGAGGACGGCTGCTTGCGTTGTGGCCGAAACGTCGTGAGAATTGTTTTATTATGTTTTATTTTTTATTATTTTATTATTTCCCTTCTACGTGACTTTACCGAAAGAACCAAGAATATGAATCCCTGCAGTCACGAAAGAAGCTTTAAATCGAAACATTCTACTCTTAGGGTGTTTCGGGAAAGTCGCATAGAGAAAAATAAAATAAAAAAAATCACGACGTTTCCATCGCAACACAAGCAATCGTTTTCAGGTGAAACTCATTGTTCTATATGTGGAGGGCCCGGGAGAAAAATCCACGCGACCACCGTGAGAAAGAGAGAAGAGGGAGACACGCAGACTCCAAACATACAGCAGGTGTCAGGCTTGAAGCCACGACTTCCTGTAGACCAGGCGAGGTAGTCAACATCTCATAGCCCGCGTGATGATGATGATGAGAGAGACACGCAAACTACAAATATACAGCAGGCGTCAGGCTTGGGATTGAACCCACGACCTCCTGTACACCAGACGAGTTAGTCAACATTTCCTAGCCACCGTGATGATGATGAGAGAGACACGCAGACTCCACATATACAGCAGGCGGCAGGGTAAGGATGGAACCCACGACCTCCTGTAGACCGAGCGAAGTAGTCAACATCTCCTAGCCACCGTGATGATGATGATAGAGAGACACACAAACACCAACACGACCTCCTGTACACCAGGCGAGGTAGTCAACATCTCCTAGCCACCGTGATGATGATAGAAAGAGACACGAAAACTCCAACCCGACCTCCTGTATACCAGGCGAGGCAGTCAACATCTCCTAGCCACCGTGATGATGATGAGAGAGAGAAACACGCAAATTCCAAATATACAGCAGCAGGCGTCAGGGTTAGGATTGAACCCACGACCTCCTGTATATCAGGCGAGGTAGTCAACATCTCCTAGCCACCTTGATGATGATGATGAGAGACAGAGAGACGAAATGTCCAAATATACAGCAGGCTTGGGATTGAACCCACGACCTCCTGTATACCAGGCGAGGTAGTCAACATCTCATAGCAACCGTGATGATGATGAGAGAGAGAGAGACACGCAAACACCAACACGACTTCCTGTACACCAGGCGAGGTAGTCAACATCTCCTAGCCACCGTGATGATGATGGTAATGAGAGAGAGAGACACGCAAACTCCAAATATACAGCAGCAGGCGTCAGGGTTAGGATTGAACCCACGAACTCCTGTATATCAGGCGAGGTAGTCAACATCTTTCCAGCCACCGTGATGATGATGAGATAGAGAGAGAGGCACGCAAACACCAACACGACCTCCCT